CGCTGCTTTTCATTCCACTACAACGCATGCTCGTTTTTGTCCTATTCCTATTATTCCTATGTGACCAAAAAAAAGACAAGAAATGCCCGGAGCGTTATTTCTGTCCTTCATATCTTTCACACTGCCTCTTACGACAAGAGCCGATCTATCATATATGTCTATGATTTGTCTATGATCAACAAATTAAAATTCGATTTTTATTAACGCAAGACTTATCCAAATTATGTTATTTTGAGAAATATATATTTTTTATTGTAAGAATCGATGAACTGTATTACTATAGTTTTTAGTCAAGTAGTTCATCGATTGTTCTTGCACCGATTATCGTATCGTCCATACGAGCACTCGCGAGATTTTGTGATTTTAAGAGTTTTTCTCTCGAGTCCATTAACTTTCGGAGATACAGTGTATATTAATTGTCGTTAAATATTTAAGATCAATAATAATGATGACAAGAAAGCTATGTATATTTTGACAATACTATTCTTGGTATCAGCATTGGAAAGGCCAACAAGAGATGTGTGATCGCGTCCGTTTGTACATTGATGTAACGTATTATTTTGATGTTAATATAAGTGTACTATATAAAAAAAAAATAGAATGAAGACTCGAAAGGAACAGCTCAAATGTATCCGAGATAAATCTAAAAACTTCGATCTCGGATTCGTTGATAAATGTTCATCCATTTGCAATAATCTATCAAGAGTTGAAACTGGTGCGATTAAATAAGACCGATAGACGATTATTTAATATATTATGTAAATTATCCGCTGATAAATTATACGAAATTATACGTATGTGAAAATACTTAAGATTTCTTACGATAATTGTGGATACAATTGATATCGTGGATTTGATAAATGTTGTAAAGAATAGGAATAGATTTGTCTTTCAGCGGGTAATAATTATACAGTAAACTTTCGAGATTATTTTTCGCCATATTTTTATTTTTTATATGTATAGACTCTGTATTTGAATTTAAAATATCTATTTTACAAAATATTTTTAAAAAATATTGAATCACGCGCGCGACTCGAGGAGATTTTGTTGGTCAAGAGAGAATGATAATGGATCTGATTATCGTATACGTATATTTTTTTATATTTATTTGTCACTTATACGTATATATATCATCTCCAATAATGTGAACTACATGTACAAATATTTTTAATAATACTGATTGTATCTGTGACCATATCTAATTGTACATTTGTAACGAATTCATGAGATTTTAAGAATCTCATGGCAGGTATCTGCGTATAATATCTGCTTGCCGCACTTTTTACATAAAAAAATATCATATGTATGGCTCGTAAAACTAGCGTTAGACTACATTCTATTTATGCTTCATAATTCATAACATAATGCGAATAGTTAGAATTGTCAAATGTATATTGTTTATGATTTATTTTGTAACAAATTCAAAGAATATGAATCATCATGATTTGTGTATGTAAGTCTATCCTAACGAATGGTGAATTTGTATAAAATTATAACGAATCAAGAATCGCATATAGTCTAGCGCTAGTTTTAGAAAGATCACGAGCAACCTAAGATCACAGTGGAGACAAGATTTTTTTTATTTGTAATTTCATCATTATATCTCACATTACAAATGTTTCTGATGATGCCATTACATTAGATGTTGCGGATGGATCACGTTATATTTAGAAATAACCTTTTGTTATGTTTGTATAACTTGTTTTCATTTTTATACTGCCGTTAAAAATATGCCATGTAACGTTTAATAAATTGTGTACAAAGTTTATTGTTAGTACTATAATAGTAGTTGCTAATGATAACAATAACATTAACCGATTGATCTGTTTCGTCGAATTGTGCCATTTTATCAATGTTGTATATATGATTATAATGTATCAATCGCGACATCGGATTTTTAGAATCAATATTCTTAATTTCGTTCAGTATGGCGGTAGCAACAAATGTCCGGATTGCTACTACCTGACAATAACCTGACGGCAGACAAAGTTAAATAATGGACTCCGCGGAAATAGCATTACTTCATCACTGATCTTTTTCTATTTAGGTTTTCCATCTTTCTATTATTATTCAATTTATCTTTCTATTTTATATTTCTCTATCTATATATATTTTTCGTATTAACACAAATATTTAAAAACGTAAAAATGATTGAAAGTAAAAAAAAACATTTGTGTGTAATTACATATCAATGAATGTTATCGAGTTTTGTATTCGAATTCGAAATATTTTTCATATCATTTTATATATTAGCTAAATTAGCAATAATGATTACTCAATGATGATGTACTGCTAAACTGTTATCAAGTTTCGCGGGTATCTGTTTGCATATAAACGCACAGAAATGACAAGCGTTTTGTAAATATTCTGTTTAAATATAAACTGTCGCGCGGAGAAGAAAATACCATCATTGAATAAATGAAATTGCGCGTAGGATGTGCATATGACACTTCAATTATTTAACTTATGACTATTCTAATGTAAAATACTGTAATAACTGTACGAATAGTCTGTAAGTTCTAATAAAAGAAGCACTAAAAATCCTACATTGGATTCGTTTTGTAATGCGACGACATATTGAACCGATACAATGCAATATGTATATTACATTTTTTCTAATATACATATTTTAAATTATATTTTTCTTAATTTTAAGTTCACGCATTTTATTTACAATTTTTTAATATGATACACATTCGATTCTCTTTATTTTTTCCAGGTACAGGTTTTGTTACACTTGCTGTTATAACATCTATATTGTTGTGTTGGAATTAAAACGATTTTAAAATTATTATAAGAAAATAATTTAGAATGTAATAATAACTTCTTTAAAAGTTATCTATTCTTAATTTTTTTCTTTAAAACTATTTTCCAAATTTTTCAATATCTTAAATCATTTTATTTGTTTATACTGTAAATCAATAAATCATTGTTTATCGCATCTTTAGTAGATTCATTTAAGTCTGGCATCTTTGTGAAGATAGTATCTTCATCACATGAATCACTAGATGAAGAATCCAAACGTTTCGGTCCCAATACAACTTTTAAATCTTCTTTGATAAATTCGTGGTGTAAATTCATCAATTTTACAGTTCTTCTTAGTTGATAATTTGATTCGTTTAAGTCTCTTCGATCTTCGGACATATTACAATTTTTCGTTGAGATCGATTTTTTGCTCCCGACATTGCGATTGTCGTTGATAGATTGAGCGTTATTTTCTACGACTTCAAATTCTTTCGAAAATTCCTCGTCTATTTCCTCGATAGGATCTAGGGCATATTTTATCTCCTTTCCAAGAAATGTTTTCCTTCCATTTTCCGGGTGATCTTTGTTAATCGATTCACCGGTACCACCTTGATCTTCTATCAATATCGGAGTACTCCCAGATAAAGTATATACTTGTCTTGCTTTCTTTATTCTTGTTCCTGTAGGTACATTATTTTCATCACCAATGAGATAGCAAACAATTTATTCTTTACAAAAACGGGAATGAGAATAACAATCTTTTAACAATAAATTGTCACAAGATCATAAAATTAATACAAAGTCAAGACAGAGGAAAACTAGATAGATAATTATCTATTTTATAGATTTTACCGACCTGATGGAACCTTCATAACGTTATCTTCGATTTTGATATTTTCCTTCGGTTTATTCGTAGCAGTAGGCCTCTCCTCCTTAAGCTTATCTATTTCTACTTGATACTTCCAAAATCTGGAACCAACGCTTGGATCATGTCCTCTGCTGGAGGTCGAGCCCGGTTGCAGATAAAGGCAACCGCTGTCGGGAAAGAAGAGTCTTTGCAGAAGCGATCTCGGCGGGCCTCTATCGACGGCGGCGTTAGCTCGTGCATGATTCAGGCATTCCGACCTATTACGGAGTATATCGCAGCACTCCAGCATGCCGAAGAGCAGCAGCATTGCAATGCCAACTAAGGTCAGCAATGCGGCCAGGCAGATTAATTGCCAAGAGAAATTCAATAATATCGCCACGGTGTCCTCGTCGTTGCGCGCAGCGCCAAAGGGAGCCAGAATACTCCCGAGAATCGCGCAAACGAGATGTACCGCTATGACATTGCAATAATCCTCCAGGGCACTGTTAAATATCCGCGTGGAAACGAGGTAGAACACGATGCCTCCCAGGCAGCCCAACGCAATGGCTATTTGCGGCGAGTAATCGTTCGCCGCGGCCGACACAGTTACCACGCCGGCGATCGTCCCCTGAACGCATCTCATTACCGTCCAATGATTGAAAGTCTCACGGCTGAGGACGAAATGCAGGGCCACGATTAACAATGTGCAGGAGGACGCGGCCAGCAAGTTGTTAACGTACGCGAACGATAGGTCCCGCGCGAACATCCGGAATTTCTCGCGGTCGTGCGCGCTTGTGCACAAGCTCTGTAAACAAACACAGCATTATACATAACCGATTAGGAAATTCGCGGTTTCCATTTAGCTCGAAGATTAATATTTAAAAATCATCACGAAAAAATCTAAAGTCAGTTTATCAATTGGTTACTCCAAAGTTATAAATTTCTTCTTAGATTATTTTCAATAATATTTTTTATTTATGTCAATTCTCGTGTATCAGAGAAATTTGCGATTTCTTTCCAAACTCGATAATTAAACACTAAATTATATAAAAAAATTATATAAAAAAGTTATATCTTTCTGTCGTGAAGACAATTTGAAATTTATTTCCAGCCAAAAGCTATTTACTTGAAGCCCTCCGAAGATTAACAGTAGACCCCCGAAAACGGTTCCAGCGGAGCCGGGAGTGATACTCGCGTCGTCCAAGTCTCTCAATTTTAACATTCTTCTGCCGAGAATGACGCATCCGATCAGACCGGAAAGTCCCCCGACGATGTGGACCACCCCCGCGCCAGCTTGATCTTTGAAAGCCACCATCCTTCCCCCTAATTCGTTCTCGGCCATCCATCCTTTGGCGGTCCACGCCCAGTGGATGAGCAACGGCTGAATTAAACCCGATGAGAGGGCACTCACCAGCAGGTATCCCATCGTGTGCATTCTACCCGCAACGACGGTGGTGAAAATCGCCGATGTGATCGCCACCGCTTGCCATCCCACGATCGCATTATCTCTGTCGATCGCTGGATCACCGATCCAGTGACCTCCACCGATCAAGCCATCAATGTCGCCGTAGGCAATAAGAAAACCTATTAGGAAGTACATGACGGTGACGCAGCATAGATCTACTATATTCTGAAGGAGTATCAGATTGACGTTGGTGATCGGCACGCTGCCGAGCTGAACGAGGACGAAGCCAACGCGCAGGAGGATCGTCAGGATGAGACGAGTCAATGAGTTCAAGTGAGGATGCGACGTCGAGACGGTGTAGTTGCTGAGTGCGCGAGGATGAATAGCATAATCGTAATAATTCTCGTAAAAATAGTCTCTAGTAACGGACGACATTCTCTTTTCCTTTGGAATTGAATATCTCTTCTGTTCGACGTCACGTTATCATATTGTCCTTCGTCGTGATTGAGATATTTTTCGAGATGAAATACATTTTATGCACAAGAGTGTCGTTTTTGCTGGGGTTAAGATAACTGATGGGAAATTCGAGTAAGACAGTGTACGTAGATTGATTGTCTACTGTTTTATCGAATTGATCGATTAACATAATTCGAGAGTTTAACATTTCATTTTGTCAACTTGTAGCGAAAAAGTGTTCTTTTATTCATAGATTTGAGACTGCAAACTCAATGCGAAAGTCCGACGTTGACATTTAAATCTCGTTGAAAATCGGATGAGAAAATAGTAAATTCTCGCTTTAATTGATTTATTTTCATTAGGATTTTTCAACGAATTAAATTTATGATTTTAAAACATCTCTAAAGTATAAACAAAATAAGAAGATTTTTAATATTTACGTAAAAGAATATATTTTTAATTAACATTTTTTCTAATGAATAATAAAAATTTTTGTTGTGATTACCCCTTGAAATCAACTACAAGAAATAAAAATAAATAGGTAATTTATAAAAAAGTTTTTGGGTTGCTATAAACATTGAATAACTCAAAATAATCAGTTATTGTGTTTCAGTATTCACTGTTAGTACTGACAGAATATGATATATAAATGACACAAATTACATATTGTGTTGGCAATAAATATTGAAACGTAGCCAAAACAAATCAAATAGTTTAATTTTAAAATAAACTAAATATATTCTGAATGCGACATAATTTTAATATTACCGTTGCAATGCGCGATTTCTCTTTTTAAGAATTAAAAATTAAATAATTTTTAAACCGTTCAAATACTTATAATAATTATACTCATCTTTTATATATAGATACTTAAAAAAATAGTAAAACAATTTAAGAATTTTTATACTTTTCCCAATATTTTGATGATACGTATGTATATCTTTAAGCGAAACAAAAAAATATTTAATCTATTTTTAAACTAATGATAGTACTATATTTTAAAATTTTGAAGATCTAATAATGCTATAAGGAACAATCCTACACGCAGGTATAACGTGAATGAACGAATGAATGAATCAATAAATATCGGCGCTATTTACCAAACATAGTCTCCTCAGACGTGAGGTCTAATACAATTTCTATTACAATAACAAAATAAGATATACAAAAAAAAATAAAAACAACAGTGAATTTACGTATTTGTAAATAAAAAAAATTAAAAGTGCGCGCGTAACATGTATTTTCATGGACCGCCTCTAGAACCTTGTGTCCACGGTGCTAGAAATCGGTTCGAGATCTCGGACAGAAAAAGAATTGACCAATCACATTCTCCGGAAGACGGAAAGAGAATATTTAAATAATTGGTCGAATTATTTAAATATTCTCTTTCCGTCCGAGATCTCGGACCGATTTCTAGCATTGTGGACACAAAACTTAAAAGGATCTCTCGAGTCGCGTTTCAAACACAATGAGGACGTACCGCGAACGGTGACGTCAACACCGTTCGGCCAATGCGCGTCGAGCGCGGCGCGACGCGCATGTCGCGTCGCCGGGCCGCTCGCAAGGTCGGGGTTTCGGGTTCGCGCGCACAATGTTACCCGTGCAGCACGGTAGTCGTGGTTGTCGGTTCACTCAAGCCGTGCGACGTGGGTGGTATACGGGTGCGTTGTAGTCCCTCCCCGGTCGAGTTGTGCGAGGGAGAGCGAGCGACGAATATATCTGGTATATCGCACATCGGGACGTCGGTGGTGGACTTCGTTCCTCGACGACGAGGACAACGAAATGGCAGCGGTGTCGTGTCGGACGATATTCGTCCTGAGATGGTGCGAGATGAGCCGCGTGCTGACCGCCACGTCCTACCTCGCCACGACGAGGAGGTACCGAAAGGTGAGGGAGCGCACGTTGACAGGGGAGAACGGCGAACCACACCTGTATGTCCGGTCAGTCGCCTTTTCGGGAATTCTCCTCCGGAATGGAAATCTCTATTTTCTCTCCGTCGTTTCTCGCAATATTCGAATATTCGAAAAACGTTAAAATACTCCGATCTGGGATCAGTTATCATGTAAGCCGGTTGTGCGTTTATTTTGAAACATACGCGTGCGGATTAGATCAGACTGATATTGCCGGGGTCAGGTGTCCGTCCCCCATTCTATTTGCAGCCGCGATAACTGCGATAATATATTACCGGAGTCCCTGGAGAGAGGAGATCCTGCTTCTCCCACTCTCATACGTGCAACGTGAAGCGTGCAGCGACTTCGGCACAAATCCCTTCCTTTGGATCGCTCGCGTGCTCGAGTTTTTATCGCACACGCGCCTTCTGGAGGGCACGCGATACCTTTGGCGGCATCGCGTCTCCTCATCATAACTTTCAACGTTACAAAAGGACCTGAAAAATGCTAATACGCAAGCAGTATTCGCGGAGAAACGAGAAGATCCCGCGCGATTTTTAAACAGAACGAGATATTTCTAAGGAAGAACGTGCTCCGAAAATATGTTATTTCTATTTTCTTCTGTATTCTGTCTCTCCAACTTTTTCTCTGTCGAAAATTGTTTGCAGCCCGCAGGTCAAATTGAATGACAACTCGATTGAATAGTTAAATTCTAATTACAATTTAATACGCGATATCGAACATACGTACGTGTCACTCGGATTTCACTTATTAATTATTAGTGGCATTATTAAAATATTAATTGTAATTTGTCGTAATTTAAAACGAACTGTTAATTTTACTGTTAAGTAGCATAAAAATTAAATGCGTTTGTATTCAATCATTTGTTATCGTGAATGCGTATAGTCGTTTCAGGTAATCCGATAATGTCGATACTTCCAAAAATACAAAGCGATAAGGCGAGTAAACATACGTCTTTCCCGTACAATTAACGTGAAACATATATGCGATGTATATGCATTATCAGGAAAAATTAGAAACTATTTCTAATCTCAACGTCATAAATTGCAGTCAATAAATCTACAATTTGATAAATATAGTTTTCTAACTATTTCTGGAAAACCATTATATGACTTTGAATTTAAGAGATTCCATTGCGAAGTACAAAAATATTGTACGAATATAAAAAGGCTGTTTACTTTTCATTATTCAAAAAAATTAAAATAAACTTAAAAAGTTAATAAATAAACTTAAAAACCATTGGATATATGCATGTATAATGTCACGACTATAAATATTAAACAGTCAAATTATTTTTGTGCGTTTGCAACATGCAACAGAAACATAGGCCGACTTTCATTTTTCTAGTCATGAGACATATACGAATAACGAATATGCAAAATCTCATGCTAATAAAACAGTTATCATTTTTCTAGTTACCGCATGCAACATGCGGTTATGAGATAAGACATGCATCTCGATGCGTATGTGTTCACGCGCGCCTTCCTTGCGCAGATCACATCCGCAGTACATCGGCATTAATCAACATAACGTTTAATAATTACGGATATAACATGACACAAAATGTTTCTGTGATTTCCATTTCTCATTATTTCAATTTTAATATACTAACACGTGCATAATTTTTATACAATTATAGAACTTATAAAATACGCAATTATAAAATAAACATGATATTAAAACGATGAAAACATTTATAATTTTTAATATATTTCACAGTACCGCGTTATAAAATGTAAATTTACTTGTTATTTTAAAATTGAAAGTGAAAAATTATCAGAATTAGATTGATGATAGAATAATAAGAATATTATTATAAATTTTGTCAATTTGTTAAATTTTAATGAATATCAATTCTATGTCATACAATTTGTATTATTAAATTTATATCTTTATATTTAGCAGACTGTCAATCGATTTTTAACATTCTTTCCAGCTTAAAATAGACCACCTTCGCAAACTCCCATTAAGTTGCAAAAAATACAATACTTCAAGTCAGTGAACAATTTTTTATATTGTAGTGAAGTAATAGAAGCGGGAAAATTATAAAAATACAATTGGAAGAATTAATTAGAATCAATGTAACATCAAACATTGCATATTTATTTTTCTGCCTCATTGTGTAAAGATTCCATTTCAACACTAGCTTTGAAGCTGATATAAACAAAAATTCAATTTCTGATGTTCCGAGGGCAATATACTTTGATGTAGGCGCATTCAATTAATAGAATGTTCGTGCTGAACAATACCCTCTCGTTCTCGATGTAGACATTGCAATTTCGATAATACCGATTTTCGATTTTCGATTTCCCGAGTGTGCTATATACGTCGCACATCTTCGATACGAAATCAAACTGTGTCCAAACCGTGCTAAACGATCCCGAGTTCATCTCCCGCATCGTCGCCACGGGAAGAGAAACATTTTTCGCGCGGAAAATACGGATACCACCTATGCTCGTAAATCAAACAGCGTCGCGCTTTAGCACCGGCCATCGCGCTAATATTTCATTCGCTAATAGCAATGCTTCACTACTCGCTGTTTCCTCGACGTACATGTCTGCAGATTAAAGCGCACAGAGAGAGGAACTCGCGAACTATGTCTCGAATGCTAAAACGAACGAGAAAAACGCGGACGGAAAAAATGTAGGTCAAACATATTGTTTTACTCCTCGAAACGAAGACAATGGATGTTGCATAGTTTTAGTTCGAGAATGAATACAATTAGCATCATAGAGGTTTCTCGACAGGTCTATTTTATAAATAAAGCATAAAAAACATAAATTTTAAAAATAGCGAATGCAATTGGATTGAATATGTAAAGTTTCGAAAGATCATGATTTCGAAAATCAAAAAGTATTATTAATGCCTCGAACTATGAAAAATGAGACAATATTCCAAAAATTATAAATCAAAGTGAATGTGCCGAATGTTTCAAAATTTAAAAGAAAGAATATATGAAATATCTCAGAAAACACACAATTTCAACTTTTGAATTTTGTAACACTTGATATATTCATATATTTTGGATTTTATAATTTTCGGAAATTGTCTCATTTCTCATATTTCGGGATTATGGCCTTTCGGGACATTGTCTAATTTTTGAAATTTTAAGATTGTGGTTTTCCGGACATTGTCACATTTTTCACATATTACATTTCGGGACTATGATTTTTTTAATTTTTACTTTTTGATATATTTTTGGGGGATTTTTTTACTTACTGTAATTAGTATCGCGAATATTTTTTAAAATAGAATTTTTCCTGGACCTGATTAAAATGTGGAAATAAAAATTAGCTGCATATAATAATTTTATGAAATTTTATGGAATTTAAAATTAGGATTTAATATTAAGTAAAGCGACGTGAATTAAAAGTTTATGCAGAATTAAATAATGAAAAATAATAGAAATGCATATATATATATATATATATATAAAAATTGCATGTTTATTTTAGAGTTAATATAATTTATAAAATAAAATGAAATAAGATAAAATGCAGAGCATAATTAAAATAGAAGGAAAATTACCCAAATACGTTGCATTCTAGCGTACATAAAAAATACTGTTGCTCGCGTTATCTGATTTGAATCTCTCTGTTGACACGTGATTTGGCGAGAATCCAGAATCTTGCGAATGATGTGCCATAACTCTCGAGAATTTCTGGATCGCGTAGGTTCAACGAAGTACAAAAGTCCTTCACGGACGCTTATATGCGTCGATAACGCGCCTTTCTCATGTCTCTCAGTTAAATGTCAAGTAAGATAAATCTGCTCGCTGCTCTCCCGTGATCTTCACGACATTTATAAATATTCAGAGTTCTTCGGATGGTCACACCAAAAATACACCGCATTCTCGAGACATGTTTCGACTTCGATATTCGTCGATCTTGTAGAAACGAAATTTTAGAATATCTGTAAGATTTTTTCGAAAAGTTGACTTTTAAATGAAGCGAAGAGTTTCGAATGTAAACATGATTTTTATTCAGAGTTCTCCAAATTATACTAAAAATATAACTGGTTCTTATGTCATTGCTTGACTCAAGGATACTTCAATCGAATTCAGTTCTATAAAGATGAAATTTATATATCACAAGTTTTTTAATTACAAACTTAAAACAACGTAATTTAATAAAAATACAACTCAAGGTGAAAACCTCAATAAGTTTTGTGCGAATCTTTCCTTCTTTTTTAATTTTTATCAAGAAAACAAGTTGTATAACTAATGATACAACAGGGGATCGTAAAAAGTTTCGTATAGATTTTATGGTTGTTCTTCTTTGGTGGTGTTAAAACACCGTAAATTTGCATCACAAGTTTGGAGAAGACCGCTCAGTTCCAGACAATTTTCTTTAAACACGTCGGCGCGACTTTCTTTATCGTTCAATTATGACTCGTAAATTCGGTGATGTGTAAAAGGTAAGTCCGCTAGAAATGCGTACAGGATGATGTATCGTTCCACTGACTCATCTCATCATTCACGATACACGCGTTACGTCATTATGAGAATACATCATACGAGCCTGATTGCATTTTTGCACGAGAAGTTCATCTAGTTGGTATTCCATTGAGCCGGATTTTTCTTACGCTTCACATTTCGCAGCAATTGCACGTAACTACTTTTCAAAGAAAACGTACGAATTCCAACGTTCTCTCTCTCTCTCTCTCTCTCTCTC